CACAGAATGTACTCAGGACAAGTTCCAGCTCGCGGGATCAATGCAGGGCAGACTCTGCTTCTGTAGGGGGCACACTGGAGCACGGACGGGGCGAGGACAGCGCCACGCACCAGTGCAGAAGCTTCTCGGGGACAAGCTCCACTCCAGCCACAGCACGCCCGCCTGCCCGCTCAAACCTGGGCCAGCCGGCCGAGTGGAGGGGCGGGCTGACACCTCACCAGGCCTTTGTCCATCTTGGGAAGGAAGCCTGCCTGCGCTAGGCGGGAAGGCTTGTGAGGAAAGCAGATGAGGAAGAATTTCGGTTACAGAGACACCAGCAGTCACTGCACTGGCAGATGGAGGCATTCATGGAAACACAAAAGAGACAGTCTATTTTATCAAATAAAATGCAAACTATTTCAAAGGTTTAGCTTCAGGGGACTTGCCTCATTCAACGTGTGCCCTCCCCTCCTCCTGCCTGCCTAGGTCCTACCACACAAAGGACAGAAACACTCTAAACCGAATGCAAACTGCCTGCTTGGGCAACAATGTCAGGCCACCCCCAACCAAACCCAGGGGTAAAGGGCACCAGCTGGGAGGCACCGTGGCCTCCAGGGGCATCCACAGAAGGAGCCGGCAAGCCACGCTCTGCTCTGCTCCCAAGCCTGCCCATTTTCAGTAGCACAGGCTTAAAAAAATACCTGTCAAAGACTTAAGCTTCTATGTAACAGCAAACTGAAATTTATTTCAAGTTTACCCTTCAAACAACTCTATTCTTAACGTACAGGATTAAACCTCGTACCACTACTTGCCAAGTTCTAATAAAATGTATTTATAAGTCTAATTTGTAGGCAAGCATCAATTTGTCCTAGAAAATGATTACAGTATGGAGTCACTGCCCTCCAGGGTTGAACAGGGTGCGAGAAGAGGGTTGTCTGGAAGGTGGGGCTGCATGGGGGGCGGGGTCCTCCCTCACGGTGAAGCCAGGGCGGTGGGACTTCCATGTTCCCACCCCCAGAGACCGCTCTTCCACCCCCACCCCCACCCCCGCAGGCCCCTTCCTGCTTGAACAAGGTCTTTTTAGACAGGCTCCAAGTTCAAGTGCAAGTTTAAGCTATACAGGCCTGGGTAGGGGTGCCTGGGTGGCTCAGTCAGTTGACTGTCCGACTCGTGATCTCAGCTCAGGTCATGATCTCAGGGTTGTGAGTTCAAGCCCTGTGTTGGGCTCTGCTCTGGGCAAGGAGCCTACTTAAAAAAAAAAAAAAGATATAGAAGCGTGGGTAGAAATTAAGCCCACATAGTGACGAGCAGAGGCCAGCACGAGTTATGTAGAAGTTACTGGAGGTGGCGGGAGAGTCCTGGCGCGCTTGGCTCAGCGCCCTCTCAGAGCGGAGGCGGGGTCTCTGTCGTGCTCCTAGCCCAGCGCTGGGTGCAGTGGGTTAAACTAGCTCTACACATAGTCCGGGCAGCCGTTCCAGAGCACTTGATGGGGCACAGCCGTCCCAGACGCGAGCGTCTCTCCTGGTGAACTGCTGAAGCCTCGCAACACTGCCGTGGGGAGAAGGAAAGCCCCGAATCCCCTGGCTCCCGTGCCCGGCGCCCTGCCAATCTGGGCTCTCGCCCTTGGTGTCACTGAGCTTGGCGTCGCCGCAGTGGGGCTCCTCTGGCCTCGGTCAGCACGGAGTCTGGGCCTCATGGGCATGTCTCACGTGGGCTAACCACAGCTACCCGGGCAGGGGGTGGGGGGCACAACAGGCTTTCCTGGGCCCTAACAGGTGGACGTCGCCCCTGCCTGCCTCCCCAATCCTCTGTCCACCCTCTCCAGAGTCCAGGCAGACTCCCGGCAGCCTCCCGGGGCTCCCCACCTTGCACACCCCTGCAGGCGCACTGACCAGTCGCTCCCGCTGCCATCGGCACCCCTCCCCCATCAGCCACTACGCCCACCCCCGCCCCCCGCTCGAACATGGGCCCATGGGGAACACCAAGCGGTCCTAGCTCATCTCCAAGAGGCCTGCGGCCTAGCCAGGTGGGTGGGAAGACCAGACTAGGTGGTGAGTGAGGAGCTCAAGGCGGGCAAGCCGGAGTGGACTCTGGGCAGCAAGAACGAGCACCTGCCTCACAGCCGCCACACACTTAGCCTCGGGCCCTGGAGCCACACAGCCTGTCGCTCAGCTGTGTGACCCTAAGTGAATGACTCAGCCTCGTGCGGCCTCCGGGTGTCACCGTCCGCAGCATGGGTCGCACCAACACCCCCTTGCAGGACCGGAAGAGGAGGCGTGTGCTGGACGTGACTGCCCGCCACGTCTCGGGCTCCCCTTCGAGCCTCACCTAGAATTCCAGGGGCCGTTACAGAAAATCTGCCCAGCTTCCGCAAGACTGGAGTAAATGCGAGACCCGTGAGAACAGATGCTGAGGCTTCAGTGACCCCGACAGGGTCACTCCTGAGTTGACCAAAGTTTCTGCAGAGACACTTCAGATAGCTCAGGGGTGGCGAGAGGAGGCGGCATCACAAACCGAGCTAACGCCACGGCTCCGGGCTAGATGATTTCCAGGAACATAGCAGGGTTTTGTTTTGCAAAGGATTTAGAAGTGACAGCCCTAAGCCAGATCCATATAAACACTAGAACAACATTTGGCTACACTTAACAGTAGACCTTTTGTTTGTTAAGCCACCTTACAAGGAAAAACATTTATTTTCAAAATCTTGAAAATGTCAGCGAAGTGCTAAAGTTCAATCTAAATCTTTTAGAAGAACAAAGGCACCCCTAAGCCATGCGTAGACAGGGCTTGCCGAGCAGGGAAGGAGCCTCACTCTCTGCAGACCACCCCTCACTTCCTATCCCTTCTGAGCAAATGGCAGAGGCCGCTAAGGCAGGAATGGTGGAGGGACAGCAGGGGAGACAGTGCTCCCCTGACCCTAGGTGAGATGACCCCGGGCAATCTCACCAGGGAGCAGAGCCTGTCCCACTTTCCAGAAGCCTTGAGATGGGGTGGAGGAGTGGTGCATTGGAAAAGCTGGCTGGACACTCTCCATTTTAAAAGGGGTGGTGAGAGGCACCCAAGGGGGCCCAGTGCAAGGTCTGTGTGCCCCAGGGACTGGACAGCCCAATTCACAAATGACTGATGGGCCAAAGTGGTGACAGGGGGAGGGAAGCCTGTGCTCACACGGGACCACAGGGAAAAATGGGCATCTGCTCCCCTGTGGGTGGCGGGGGGGGGGGGGGAGGGAGGGTGCTTCTTCCCAGTGATTCCATGGGGAGTTGGCTGAAATCAGGCACAAAAAGGGCCCTGTGGTAGATCACGTGGGAAGCAAAGGCTTAGACTTAGTGGACTCCTTTCCTGAGGAATTCTTGTGTGCGGTGGATATCCACAAGGAAGAGTTCATATGCTGTGTTTCCTGGTGCTCTTGGCCACGAGCCTTTCCTTGCAGGTGTCTCATAGGGCTGGTGTCCCTGAGAACAGTGGCCCTGCAGACTTGGTGCTTGCGCTGACAGGATGCTGGGCCTCGTGCCCAGTTTCTGACCCAGAGGGCCTGGGTTGGGGCTGACGTGTTTCTAACAAGTCCCCAGGTGACCTCTCTTTGGGGACCCCAAGTGGGCCACTCCTCAGTGCTGAGGGCTCTGCCCAGGTGCCCCGCAGCTGTCCCCACCCTCTTTCAGGCCACAGCTGCTTTTCACTTTCAGCCATATCTCACTTCCATCTCAGGCCTTCTTCCTGCCCTGACTGGGACAGCATCCAATCCTGTTAAGGTAACCTTATTTAGCTAATAGCTGAGTTAATCACACCATTAGGTTTGGATTTTACCACTCTCGTTTCTAGAAGAAACCTTCCTTCCAAGTTCCAGGGACAATTTTCCAGGCTCCTTACATGATGGTTCAACAACAGAATAGTTTGTACCGTTCGAATCTGGCTTACCATATTTATGTTTCAGATACTAAATGAGAAAATCAAAATATGCACAAAATAGGCAACAAGTGTTTTGCCACAGATACCAGCATTTGCATTTGCTTTTACATATCGGCTTCTGCCACTAAAAAACAAATGACAACTGAAAAGTTCTCTATTAAAATGCTTGCTCGTTCTCAGAGCAAAGGCTTTAAGAGAACCTACTAAGGAGGGTGTGTCCACCTCCTCGGTTCCAAACACTGGGGGCTTAAGAAAACAAGAGATCAAAGAACAAAGCCTTCAGAATCAAGAATCCCAACACCCCGAGATAAGAGAACACAGATTAAAGATAATCATTTACAATTTTGCACAAAAACCGTATTTAGGCTTTTAAGGAGTTTATGAATCTGTCTGGTTATGAGAAAAAAATCACAACAGAGGATATAAGACTTAGAAACAAAAGTGCAGGAAGAAAGTGTAGCAATTTGTTATCCTCCTGCCCACGGAAATACGTAATTAGAGGTTAGCTGAGCACCAGCTAGACTCCTGCCAAACCTCACTCTTGCTGAGGACAGCTCCGGCTTCGGAGCCATTGACGTTCCATTTTAAAGCTCAGCCAGCTGGCGGCGGGGGGGGGGGGGGGGGGGGGGTTGATGCACCCCCCCCCCCCCCGCCCCCAACTCCCCGGTGCACGGCTGGCGAGGAACCTAGGGACTGGTCACCAGTGGGCAGCAGGACCGTGTAGTTTGGTGGACGTGCGTCCAGGAACGCCCTGCAGGTCCTGGTCTGCCTCCGCAGAGGTGTCCAGCGCATCTGGCTGGCTAAGTTGCAGGCTCACTTTGAGCATCCACCATATGGTCAGCTCCCCAAACCAGAAGAGGTGGCGGAGGAGGGTGTAAAGGGCAGGGGGCTCGGGAACGGAGTGGGGAACCTATCCAGGCGCCGAAGCGGGGTGTGCGTCAGCAAACAGAAGGACAAAGGCCCGGGCGGGGGGGCTCCCCCCGGCCCCACCTGCGCAGGTCGGGCCGCAAGAGGGCTTCTTGGTGGCTCTGCCTCAGGACCCGCCAACCCGCCGGGCTCCCCCGGGGGCCGGCTGCGAGGCCGGGGCGCAGGGGTCGCGCGCGGGCGCGCCTCACCTCGCACGTCCCCGGCCAGGGCCCGCCAGGTGGGCGCGTAGCCGATGCAGTGGCCGCACCACGAGGAGTAGAACTGCACGAGCCACGCGGCCGAGCTGTTGGCCGTGGCCCCGCGCACGCTGCCGCTGTCCAGCACCCATACGGCGTCCTCGCCCGCGCGGTAGAGCCGCGCCGCGCCGCCCGCCCCGGGGCCGGCCGCCGCCGCCGCCAGCAGCACGAGTAGCGGGGGCAGCCGCCGGGCTCGGGCCGCCGCTGCCGCCGGCGCCGGGGCTCCCTGGCTGCGCGCCGCCGCCGCTGCCACCGCCCCGGCCGCCGCCATGTTGGGAGTGCCGCGGCGCGCCTGACCTTTCACCCTGGCAACCGGCGTCACGTGCGCCGCGCGCGCGCCCGGCCCCGCCCCCGAGCGCCCGCCCGGCCCCGCCCCCTCCAGGGTCGCCAGATTTAGCAACTGAAAAGGTCCCGCGTCCGAAATGCAAATGTAACGGGACACTCGTTTTTACAAACGATTGGCTGCTGATCGGAAACTCACTTTTAACTGGGGGCCCTGTGCTTTATCCGGAAGCCCCACCGGGGGCGCTGACCTTGACCTTTTAAAGTCGAGATCCTAACTCAGACACGCAGCCAGACCCCCGCACAGACTCGGACGTGCTGTGGTGCCGGAGTATGGGGCTTTCCAGGAGACCGCAGCCGATTTCTTTGCAGGCCTGGGAAATAAAGCCTCCTGGCGTCCCCCGGATCCGTGTCCGAGGGCGCTGGGGGAAGGAGGGTCCCAGACAGGGCGGCAGCTTTACTGAGCAGAAAGAAGGGCTCCCGCCGGAGGGGCCGGGGGCAGCGCGGCCCGGCAAGTGCCTGGTCCAGGGGGTTTAGAAGCCTTCTCTGGGCAGCGGCCCCTGGTGACCGTTTTCCCACTGGTCGGTTTATTTATTTAGTTTTTTAAAGATTTTATTTATTTGACAGAGAAACAGCGAGAGAGGGAACACAGCGCGGGGAGTGGGAGAGGGAGAAGCAGGCTCTCCCCTGAGCAGGGAGCCCGATGCGGGGTGGATCCCAGGACCCTGCTGGGATCATGACCTGAGCCGAAGGCAGACGCCCATTGGTCGGTTTAGGGACTTTCCTATACAGGCTGTGGCACCAGGACCCGGTGGGCATGGCGCTCTGTCCTGGCTTCCTGTGATCCGGGCCCATGGTTTAGCCCTACACACTCTATTTTTAACATTCTCTGTCTCCCAACGTCTGTAAAATGCCAGTCTCCCGAGTATCTGTCACCGTTATGGTGTGGTTACATTGGTGACTGGGTAGGGTTCCTATCTTGGTCCCCTAGGGGTGCTTTGCTTGGAAGCAGATGGTGGCATTGGTATCAAGAGCCAAATGTTGGTCCAAGGACGGGGGTATCCTCTCTGAGGAAATCCTCCATTCCTGACTTAAGGAGCCATAAGTAGTTGCTCAAGTTTGCAAAAAAATGGAAGTGGTCCCTCAGCGTGGAATGAGAGGTTGGCCTGTGCCTTTGCCCATTCCGTGAAGTTGGCCGGGTCAGCCTTCCAGTTGTCTGGTGGGGGTGGACTCACACACAGCCAACGGTTCTGAGCACGGACTGGTGTGGCTGTGGAACCTTTTAACAGGCTGAAGGCTGCCTTTTTGCTCCCAAATGTGGGTGCTGGGGGGTGCCAGCAGAAAGGAGTTACACACACAGACAAATGAGTCTGATGGGCAGAAGGCCAAGGCGGCCCATAGGGCTAATGCTAGGAGAACAGAGGAGGAGCAAGGGTGCCTGGGTGGCTCAGTTGGTTGGGCGTCCAACTCGTGGTTTCGGCTCAGGTCGTGATCTCAGGGTCATGGGATCGAGCCCCATGTCAGGCTCTGCCCTCGGTTGGGAGTCGGCGTGAAAGATTCTTTCCCTCTGCCCCTCCCCCAACTGGTGCACACACGCTCACTCTCTCTCTCACACACACATAAATGAATACATAAATCTTAAAAAAAGAAATAAAGGAGGAGCATAACCACGGTTTCTGACAGGGTTCCCACTCCTGGGGAGACACTGCATACAGTCCTATGGCAAAGATGAAAGGCAAGAAAGCACCTAAAGCTATGAATGACCAAGAAAAGCTAATAGTCATTACCTATCTGGCATCAAGGAAAGGTCTGGATTTTTCCTGAAAAGGAGCTTCAAATCTTTTAGAGGTTCATCTCCTATGGAGTCAGGCCTATTCCCTGGGGTGTATTCCTAATCCTTAACAGGACCGTGGGCAGCAGAGTTGGCCATGGAAGTCCTGTCTCCTGGGTGAGCTCCCTGAGGTGCCTTTGAGGAGGTCCTTTGTTTTTACTGCCTTTCCTGAAGGCAGGAGTCTTCAGGTCTCCAGGCACAGCGCAAATGGTATTGGATCCCCAGCACCTTGGAGACTCCTGGAGTAACAGCCGCCGTAAAGAGGGGCTGTTGTCACTTTGTAGGTTCCGTGGGAGCCCGACCCGGGGAATTATCACCCTCTTTGTTACTTCTGAGGCTTGCTCTGCCCTACAGGGAGAGGCCTCTACCCGGTTAGTAAGAATGTCTGTGCAGACTAGGAGAGAGCGGATTCCTCAAGATCTGGGCATGTGGGTGAAACCCATTTTGCCAGGCCTCCACAGGGTAGCTTCCCTTTAGCCGTACGCTGGCAGGGGCTCTTCTTCTAGTGCAAAAGATCTTGGTAGCCATTTTCAGGAGGCTGTCCAGAGTCTCCTCCTGTCCTCTAGGAGATTTTTGTAACTTTTCTAATGTCAGAAGTAGACTGGACGAGGGGCACCTGGGTGGCTCAGTCGGTGAAGTGTCTGCCTTCCGCTCAGGTCATGATGTCAGGGTCCTGGGATTAAGTCCTGCTTCGGGCTCCCTGCTCAGGCGGGAGTCGGCTTCTCCCTCTGCCTCTGTGTTCTCTCTCTCTCTCTCTCTCTCGCTCTCTCTCAAGGAAATAAATAAAATCTCTCTATATAACGAAAAGAAGTAGACTGGGTGATAAATTTGTCCTTAGGAATAAGCTGCCCCTGGTAATTATCAGGGTGCAGGTTGGTAAGTTTAATAGTTTAATCAGGGCCTCTCAGAATTTTTCCAATAAGTCTGAGGGGGTTCCTCTCCTTGCTTGACCTGAGAAAGCTGGGCATAATTAAGAGGTCTGTCACAAGTGTGCTTGACACCCTCAGTAATGCATTGAAAGAAATGTCTGGTCTTCCATCTCCCTTCCCCAGTGACTCCCTCCCCCCCCACCCCCCATCATTAGTCGGGACGGCCTGGCTCCCAGTGGGACGTGGAAGGGTGTCAGCCTCCTCTAGAGGTTCTCTTTCTTCTATTCCTTGTGTGGAGTCTGCCCCTGGTCTCGGGCCTTCCCCGTCTGAGGGGAGCTCGGACGCAGGCTGGATTCCAAGGAGGGCCTGGGTTTCCCATTGTCCACTGCTCATCTCCATAAATCACAGCCACCCGTATGGCTGATCCTTTTCAGAGGTAGAGAGGGTCTGATTCAGGAGGAGCATACTATCTCTTCAGATAAGATGGAAGACCTGGCTGTCTTTTAGGGGGACCTCAATATACTCATCAGGATCATCCAAACATTTTCCCATGTACTTTTTTTTCCCCCCCGTGTACTTTTTTATTTGCTTCAACTCCTGGAGCAAGAAGACGTGGGAGACCCGTGCGGGGTTCCCTCCATCACTGGGGGCTTGTTCCTGCAAGGGGAGCAGAGAGGGGTGACGGGATGCTCGAGGCTCTGGTTTGTATGGAGGGGGTGCACTATGCTTTGGTGGAGCAGCTCCCTGTCTGTTTGGTCAAGATCTGACTTCTCCTTTTTATGTGTCCCTCCCTTGTTCCAGTCTGTTGCACCACGGCCAGAGGGACTGGGTCGTTCACATATTTCCTCTCCGAGCCAGTGCTACCCCGAAGCGCGAGGAGAGCCCACGCAAAGGAACCCTCAGACCATTTGCCTTATTTTTTTTAACAGGAGAGGTCCAATTGCAGAACCAATTGTCATGGTTCCTGCTTCCCTCAGGAGGCCGTTTTCTCCATCTTCCAGTTGGTACTCGGACCACACACAAGTGCAGAGAAGAGCAAGCATTTCTTTTGAGGGTCAGCTGTTGAGGATGCCCTCCAGGGAGTGTGAGCTGTGGGGGGCGTAGTCCCCATCTACCAAATAAGGAGGAACTCCCGAGCACCCACAAGGTTCTCCAAATCTTGAGTGGGGCCTGAGCAGGACGCCCCGCCACCCCTGTCCCCTCCTATCTGTGCATCTAGGAGCGGGGTCGAGGCGCGTCTGGGGTGGAGCCTCCGTACCCGTGTGGCCTTTGTTTCCCGTGTCCTCCTTTCCCTTTTCCAATGTTAGGGTTGGCCTGTGTGCAGTGAGCCTCTCCCCACTAGATCCTCAGGCGCACAGCCCGTGGCGCTTCCCGGGGGGTAATCTGCCAACCATTGCCGCAAAATTATCATCGGCAGACAGTTCTCTCCCCGACTCAGAGCTCCAGATGAGAGCTCGAGGTGTGTGATCCGATTTAGGGCCCCGCTCTGGTGGCATTCCCTGAGGGAGGCGAATCAGGGATTGCCCCATTTGCATGCCCTCTCGGCTACCCTACCTGGAGACGTCCCCACGCCTGCAGAGGGTGCAATGTGCCTTTGCTGGGCGGAAGACTGGAGGCGGGACCATGGGCCAGAAGGGGCCACAGGTGTCATCTATGGTCCCAGAGACGCCCCCATCTATCACCCGGTGCACGATCTCAGGAAAAAACTCAGGGTCAAAGGGATCCAGGGAAAAGTGGGGACCTGTTTGCCATGGCTCAGGAAAGAGAGAGAGACAGTGAAATCTCCTCAAGGCACAGGCACTGGGGGTTACGAGCGACCTCTGTTCCAAGGCTCCAGGCACCAGAGGCCAAGGGGAGGAGAGAAAGCCAGGACATCGAGAGGAGATCGCTCTGCTCCGCACACTGCTCGCTCGGGATTCGCGTCAGCGGTCCCCTGGGTCGGGTCGCCCGTGGTCAGGTCACCATTGTTCCTTCTGCTTTTGGATATGCCACCGAAGAGTAGCCTCGGCCAGGAGCCCTCAGGCGTCGGGAGGGGGCGCTCCTTCCCGTCGAACAGCCTCCGAAGCCCTGACCCTGGACAGAGCCAACATTCCCCGCTCGGGGGACAGGACGATTCGCACAGTCCAGGTCCCGCAAGCCTGATCTCCGAGGCTTCAGAACGGCGGCTGCACGGGCTGACCGATTCCCGTCGTGTTCCAGCTCTCCAGAGCAACTTTTATAGGGCGGAGATGGCCCGAGAAGGGAAAGGAGGAGAAAAGAAAAAGTGCCTTTGTCGCGGTATTGCTCACC